CAGCAGCACCACCTCCACTCCAACACCTCACACCACCTCCACTTCCACCTCAACTCCCCTCAGCAGCACCACCTCCACCCCAACACCTCACACCACCTCCACCTCCACCCCAACTCCCCACACCACCACCAGCTCCACCTCCACTCCCACTCCCCACCCCACCTATATCTCCACCTCCACCTCAACTCTCCACACCAGCACCAGCTCCTCATCCACCCCAACTCCCCACACCAGCACCAACTCCCCATCCACCCCAACACCTCACACCAGCACTGCCTCTACCTCCACCCCAACTCCTGAAACCAGCACCACCTCCACCTCCACCTCCACTCCCCACAGGAGCACCACCTCCACCTCCACCTCCACCCCAACTCCCCACACCAATACCACCTCCACCTCTACCCTAACACCTCACACCAGCACCACCTCCACCCCAACACCTCACACCAGCACCACCTCCACCTCCACCCCAACACCTCACAACAGCACCACCTCCACCCGAACACCCCACACTAGCACCACGTCCACCTCCACCCCAACATCTCACACCAGTACCACTTCCACCTCAACTCCCCTCAGCAGCACCACCTCCACCCCAACACCTCACACCACCTCCACTTCCACCTCCACTCCCCTCAGCAGCACCACCTCCACCTCCACCCCAACACCTCACACCACCTCCACCTCCACCCCAACTCCCCACACCACCACCAGCTCCACCTCCATGCCCACTCCCCACCCCACTTCCATCTCCACCTCCACCTCAACTCCCCACACCAGCACCAACTCCCCATCCACCCCAACTCCCCACACCACCACCAACTCCCCATCCACCCCAACACCTCACATCAGCACCACCTCTACCTCCACCCCAACTCCTGAAACCAGCACCACCTCCACCTCCACTTCCATTCCCCACAGGAGCACCACCTCCACCTCCACCTCCACCCCAACTCCCCACACCAACACCACCTCCACCTCCACCCCAACACCTCATACCAGTACCACCTCCACCCCAACACCCCACACCAGCACCAATTCCCCATCCACCCCAACGCCCCACACCACTACCACCTCCATCTCCACTCCTACTCCCCACCCCACCTCCATCTCCACATCCACCTCAACTCCCCACATCAGCACCAACTCCCCATCCACCCCAACTCCCCACACTAGCACCACCTCCACCTCCACCCCAACACCTCACACCAGCACCGCCTCTACCTCCACCCCAACTCCCCACACTAGCACCATCTCCACCTCCACCTCAACTCTCCACACCAGCATCACCTCCAACTCCACCCAAACTCCCCTCAGCAGCACCACCTCCACCTCCACCCCAACACCTCATACCAGCACCACCTCCACTTCCACCCCATCACCTCATACCAGCACCACCTCCACCTCTACCCCAACTCCCCACCCCACCACCACCTCCACCTCCACCTCCACCCCAACTACCCACACCACCACCACCTCCATCTCCACCCCAACTCTCCACACCAGCACCACCTCCCCATCCACTCCAACTCCCCACACCAGCACCACCTCCACCCCAACACCTCACACCACCTCTACCTACACCCCAACTCTCCACACCAGCACCAACTCCCCATCCACCTCAACTCCCCACCCCACCTCCATCTCCACAGCAACACCTCACAGCCATACCACCTCTACCCCAATACCTTACACCAACGTCATCTCCACCTCCACCTCAACCCCCAATGCTACCTCCACCTCTACTGCAACACCCCACATTAGCACCACCTCCACCCCAACTCCCCATGCCAGTACCACCTCTGTCCCTGGACCCACCCTAACTTCACCACATGAGACCACAGACTGCCGGGCCCAGTGCTCTTGGACCCTCTGGTTTGATGTGGACTCACCTGAGCCAGGGTCGCATGGTGGAGACCTGGAGACCTACGACCACATCCTCCAGAAGGGACACAACATCTGCCGCCGGCCTGAGGAGATCACGAGGCTACAGTGCCGTGCCCAGAGCTACCCTGAGGTCCCCATTGCTGCCCTGGGCCAGGTGGTGCAGTGTGACCGGGACACAGGCCTGGTGTGCCACAACCGTGACCAGCAGGGACCCGCAGGGCAGTGCCTGGACTACGAGGCGCGTGTGCTGTGCTGCCATGTGCCCGACGGCTGCCCCTCCACCACCGAGACCCCATCTTCAGCTCCGTCCTCCACGATGCCCGCTGTGACTCCTCCCACCTCCTGTTTCTGTCATGTGGTTGGCCAGCTGTATCCTGCAGGTAAGCAAGTTCCTGTGCTGCCTGAGAGGAAAGGCTGGACGTGGTGGGCCTGAGTAGGCTGTTCTCTTTGCCTTGCATGGCCGTCAGCCTCATTTGAGTGCTAGTACCTCTGGCACGACTGTGCAGGGCTACAAGGTGGCATCTCTTCTCTGTGAGTCTCATTCACCACACTGTGTCTGTCTCACAGGGTCAGTCATATACCACCAGACAGACCTCGATGGCCACTGTTACTATGCCCTGTGCAGCTGGGACTGCCACGTGGTCAGGGGTGTGGACCCCACCTGCCCAGCACCTGCAACGGCTCTGCCTACGTCCACACACAGCTCTAGGTCACACTGCCTACATGTGGTCCCCCAGAGAAAGGTAACCCCTCCTGCCCCTCAGGGCTTCTGGGCCACAGACAGACCACAGTGCACCGCTGAGGGGCCCAGCTGGGACGTGGTCTGAGGTGGTCTGTGGCCCATCTCCCAAGTCTACCAGCAGGAGGGATGATGGGGTGCAGGCAGGTGGCACAACAGGTTGGTCAGGATGAGGGGCAGTGCTTCTGCCTGCTGGGTGGGTGGGCACCAGCGTGGTGGGGTCTGCAGGGCATGGCCTCTCTCTCTGGGGACCCAGGGCTGAGGGTGGTTCAGACCAATACTGCCTTGGCCTCTACAGAAAGGCGAGACCTGGGCAATGCACAACTGCTCACAAGCCACCTGTGAGGGTGACAATGTCATCTCCCTGAGCCCGCGCCCGTGCCCAGAGCTGACACCACCGTTCTGCGCCAATGGCTACCCTGCCCTGAAGGTGGCCGATGCGGATGGCTGCTGCCAGCACTACCAGTGCCAGTGTAAGCCTGGGTGCGGGGGGAGGGGCACCTAGGCAGGCTGGGCTGTGTGTCATGCGGGCAGGGAGGCAGAGAGCCCATGTCCCTGCCTCACGGACGTCTCGGCCTGTAGGTGTGTGCAGCGGCTGGGGTGACCCGCATTATATCACATTTGATGGCACCTACTACACCTTCCTGGACAACTGCACCTACGTGCTGGTACAGCAGATTGTGCCTGTGTTCGGCCACTTCCGTGTGCTGGTTGACAACGACTTTTGTGATGTGGAGGACACGGTGTCCTGTCCCCAGTCCATCATCGTCGAGTACCATGAGGACCGTGTGGTGCTGACCCGCAGGCCAGTCAGGGGGGCCATGACCAACCAGGTGCGGCTGTGGCATCAATGGGGCGGGCCGTGGGGGCCGTCCGTGGTGGCTGTGCTCACCCAGCCCTGCCTCTGGCAGATCCTGTTCAACGGCGAGGTGGTCAGCCCCGGCTTTCAGAAGAACGGCATCGCTGTGTCCCGCGTGGGCATCAAGATGTACGTGACCATCCGTGAGCTGGGTGTGCAGGTCATGTTCTCGGGCCTCATCTTCTCAGTGGAGGTGCCCTTCAGCACGTTCGCCAACAACACGGAGGGCCAGTGTGGTGAGCTGCGGGCGCTGCGGGCTCTGCGGGTGCTGGGAAGGGGTGCAGCTGTGCAGCCCCACCCAGCTGGCCCTCCTGCCCTTGCCCCCAGGCACCTGCACCAACAACAAGAAAGACGAGTGCCGGATGCCTGGGGGTGCGCTGGCCACCTCCTGCTCGGAGATGTCCACACACTGGAGGGTGGACACCCCCGATCAGCCCTTCTGTGGTGGACCACTCCCGACACCCACCCCTGGCCAGTCAGTGCCCACCTCTGCAGCGCCCACATGCCCAGCTCCTCCCATCTGCCAGCTCATCCTGAGCAAGTGAGTCTCTGGTGATGGAGGGAGACCCTGTAGGCTTGGGAGCCCAGAGGCGCAAGAGGGGTCTGACACAGCCCGCTGCCCGGTCCTGGAGGCCTCTGCAGCCCACCCACTGGCAATGGCAGGGACTCTACCCTGGCACAGGGGCCACACCTGGCTTCGCCAGCAGGAGGTTGTCTGGGGGTGATGGCGCTCTGCAGAGAGCAGCCAGCCTCTGAGTGCACAGCGCTGCTGGCCCTGCGTTGTCCTGGGTCTGGAAGCCCCTACCACGGGGTGAGCCAGGAAGGCTGGGCAGGGCTGCGTCTACTGTGCCATCCCTGCTCTCCACAGGGCCTTTGAGGCCTGCTACTCTGTGATCGATCCGACGCCATTCTTCGAGGGCTGTGTCTTTGACTACTGCCACAAGACGGAGCTGGAGGTGGTGTGCTCTAGCCTAGAGCTCTACGCCTCGTTGTGCGCTGCTCAGGGTGTGTGCGTGGACTGGAGGAGCTGGACCAACAACTCCTGCCGTGAGTGCTCAGTGGGAGACAATCTGGGTGGGCTTACGAGAGGACAGAGGGGAAGCAGAGGCTGGTCCAGGGCAGAGGCCAGTGGGCTCCCAGCAGAAAAGAGGGCACTCAAATTGGGGTCTCTGTGACCCTGGGGAGTTGGGTGCAGGTGGTCCTGGGTCATGGGGCCCCATGAATGGCTATGAGCAGCCCCCAGAAGCCCCTGCAAGGGTGTCAGGCCTCAGCAGGTAGAGAGGGCCTGGGAAGTCAGAGGCCTGGCTTGAGCTGATCCTTTGGGGTCCCCACCTGCAGCCTTCCCCTGCCCGGAGGACAAGGTATACAAGCCCTGTGGCCCGTCAGACCCGCCCTACTGCTACCAGAGTGACAATGCCAGCAACCCGTACGTACTGCCCACCCTACCCGCCACCAGGAGCCGGGGGCTGCTGGGACCCCACCCTGGGTATACAGGGAACCCAGCCAACCCTGCCTCCCTGCAGGGCCCTCCCCAAGGCCGGCCGCATCACGGAAGGCTGCTTCTGCCCAGACACCCTGAAGCTGTTCAGCACCGATGCCCCTGTCTGCGTGCCCGACAACTGCTCCAGTACGTCGGGACAGTGAACAGGAGGGTGGGCTCCTCCCCACACCGGCCCTGTGTCCCTGACCTGTGACCCTGATCTCTCCCTGCAGGCTGTCCCGGGCACCACGGGGAGCCGATTCAGGTGCGTGTGGATGGCAGCCACCTTTGGGCTCCTGTGGCCCAGGGCCCTGGAAAGGCGGGAGCGGGGCTGCCATGGGGACTTGGCTGCCTGTGGGCCCAGGGGGCAGAACAGGGTGCCCAGCGCTCTCCCTGCCTGCCTTGGGGTGAAGTCTGCCACCAGCCGTGGAGTCTTCTGTGCTTGTGAGCCCGCCTGCCTGGACTTGAGCTGGGCTCCAAGCCCTGTGCCTCTGCATGTCAGCCTGGTACGGCTGCCCACCTGAGAGCCACCCCAAAGACGCTTGTGTCTTCCCCACAGCCAGGCCAGATCATCAGCAAGGACTGCCAGGAGTGTGTCTGTGACCCCGACACGAAGTCCCTGACCTGCCACCAGAAGGCCTGCCCCCTGCCCCCTGCCTGCCGCATGCCTGGTTTCATGTCAGTGGCCATGACCCCCAGGGAGGGCCAGTGCTGTCCCCAGTACACCTGTGGTGAGGCTGGGGCACTTTGTGTGGGGGGATGGCCGCTGCTTCCTGCTCCTGGTGACCTTGGGGACAGCGCATGTGGGTGGCCTGGCCCCTGACCATGTCCCCCCTTCACAGTCTGCAACTCCAGCTACTGCCCCGAGCCCCAGGACTGCCCCGAGGGCTCCCACCTGAGCCTCACCCATGAGGAAGGGGCCTGCTGCCCAAGCCAGAGCTGCCGTGAGTGTCCCATCCTGGCTAGCTGTGCTGGCTGCAGTCCCACTCACCACCACCCTGGGCCGGATCCTGAGCCAGGATGACGCTGCTGAGCACGTGGAGGGTGGGACAGGTGGGTGAGACACGCCTGAGCCAGGGGTCTGGGTGGTGGTGCAGGGATGGTGTGGCCTTGTCTCTTCTGCAGGCTGGACCAATTGCAGCATCAATGGGACCCTCTACCAGGTGAGCCAGCCCCACGGCCCTGGGGTCATGGGCCCCGGAGCCCCTGGGCAGCACTGATCCCTCCTGGAGCAGTGTGGTAGACAGCCCAGCTTGGTGTGGCTGGGCCTAGGGTCCTCTGGCCCCAGCACCTGGCAGGGGGCAGGGCGGTCTCTCCTCATTCCCCAGTCCAGCACACTCAGCCCGCCCTGCCCACTCCAGCCTGGTGCCGTGGTCTTCTCCAGCCTGTGTGAGACCTGCCGCTGTGAGGTACCCAGTGGCCCCAACTCAGACGGCTTCATGGTCAGCTGTGAGACCCAGATCTGCAACACCCACTGCCCCATGGTGAGTGCTGGCCCACCCACGCCCGGCCCCGGCGTCCACCTGAGCTCATGTCGGTGCCCCCCACCCCGAGCAGGGCTTCGAGTACCAGCTGCAGGAGGGGCAGTGCTGCGGCCAGTGTGTGCAGAAGACCTGCATCGTCTCCGCGAATGCCACTGGCCACCCAGTCCACCTCCTCCTTGTGAGTCCTGCCACTGTGCGAGGCGGTCACAGGTGGGGAGAGGCCTAAGGAGTGCTACTAGGGTCCAGGCAGGCTGGGGGCAGAGCCGCCACCCGAGCTCTGGGATGCCGGGTCCTGTGTGGGAAACGAGATAGGCAGGCGGGGACAGACGGACGCTGCAGGGCCAGGAAGGCCCACTGTGGCCTGCTTCCTTCCAGCCTGGAGAGTCCTGGTCTGACCCTGGGGCTCCCTGCGTGAACTATGTGTGTGAGCACTATGAAGACCGGCTGGAGGTGACAGTGGTGAAGAAAGAGTGTCCCGCTCTCGACTGCACCAGGGTGAGTGGCCTGCTAGGGCCCCTCCTGGCCCCTCTTGGGGGGCCACCTGCCCCGGCACCTCCTGGCAGGCGCGGCCGATGCACGACTTGCCCTCCCACGGGACTGTTGCCCTGGCATCCTCCCATGGGATCGCCTCCCCACTTGGAGCCTGGCTCCTGCCTGCCCCTTGAGATGGCCTTCGGCCCTGACCAGCCTGCCTTGGGCACAGGCACAGGCCCAGCTGAGCCCGGATGGCTGCTGTCTACTCTGTCCACCCACACCAGTGCCTGTCCAAAAGTGTAAGTGAGGCGGCTGTGGGGGCGGAGGCGGCACTACCCTTGCGGCCCAGGCAACCCACCCCTGTGCTCCTCCAGGGCCCTGCACCCTGCGCCACCGTGAGCAGGTGATCTGGCACCAGAACTGCAGCTCTGCTGTGCCCGTGAACCTCACCTACTGTGAGGGCGTCTGTGGGGACAGCACCTCCAGGTAAGCCCCTCCCATCCCAGGAGTCCCTGTGTGCTGGTAGTGGGGTGTGGTCAGGCCTTGAGGGCAGATGGCTGCATGGAGGGTGGGTAGAGCCCTGAGCTCCAGAGGCCACCGTGCAGTGCTCGGGGGACCAGCCTGTGTGGACTCAGAACAAGACTACAGCTCCCTTCAGTGACACCTGCTGTGGCTCTGTGGGCAGCACAGTGGAAGAGCTGGTGGCCATGCACCTGGGGCAGCTGACTGGGCAGCAGGCTGGGTGGTGGGACTGAAAGATGTGCCCACAGGTACTCCCTGGAGGCCAGCGCCATGGAGCACAAGTGCCACTGCTGCCAGGAGCTCCGGACCTCGCCCAGGATCGTGACACTGCACTGCGCGGATGGCTCCAACCAGGCCTTCAGCTACACCCAGGTGGAAGAGTGTGGATGCCAGGACCTGAAGTGCCAAATGCCCGGGTCACAGGAGGCAGAGTCCCGGGAGAGCCGGGAGCAGGGGCCCAGGCCTCTGCAGTGACCCTGAGGCACCTGGAGACACCCTCAGGTCCTCTGATCCTTGTTCCTGAGACCTGGCCTCACTGCCCGCCCACTCCAGCTGGCCATGGCCTCCCTGCGAGAGCGTGGGTGGACATGCTCTCAGCACTGGTTTGGGAGTTCAGGAGATTGACAGCTCAGCCCCAGCCCTTGGCAGGTGCAGGAGGTGCAGGATTCCACACCACACTGGGGTCTCAGGTGACAGGCATGGCCCTGCCTTATACGCTAAGCCCCTCCTTGGGACACGTACAATCTTTTTCATAAACACACTTGTAGCATTGTACCTTGTGGACTCTGTTTGAACCTATGTGTGCGTCCACGTGGGGTGGTCCGGCCAGTGTTCAAGCCCACGTGCACTGTGGGGCAGAAGCAGCCAGGGAGGGCCACCGGCGAGTCCTGCTGCATCCATGGCTGGACAGGGTTATGTGCTGGGGGGACAGGTAGGACCTCAGGTGTGTACCATAGGGCATAGGCACTGAAGATTTGGCTGCTACCCAGAGTGGTAGTGGCACTGGGTCAGGAGACAGAGAGAGAGAGAGAGAGAGAGAGAGAGAGAGAGAGAGAGAGAGAGAGAGAGAGAGAGAGAATATGAATGACCAAGTAACTAAGCACTGAATGAGTGGATGAATGAATGTACGACAAAATAAGCGAATGAACAGTGGCTCAGTGAGTGAGTGGGGCTGAGAATAACTGAGATGAATCAATGAGATGAGCGACTGAGTGGGTGAATGAGTGAGGAAGGGAGGACTGAGAGGGAGTAGGTGGCCCCTCGGGGCACCCAGCACACTGGCTTGTCACAGCCCTGTCCACCCTGCAGGAATCTCTGGGCTCCTCACGTGGCTGAGTAGAGTGTGTGATGTGTTACCTCCACCCCCGAAACCCACAGGCCCTGCAGGGCGGCCAGGGCCCTGGGCCAGGCGGTGCCTGCTTCTCCTGTGGTCACATCACCCCGCTTGCCTTGGTGCTGGGCTCCTCTTCCTGGAACCCCAGATGCCCCAGCTCCCTGAGACACCTGGCCGTGGTTCAGCCTGGCCACATAGCAGAGCTGGGAGGCCTGTGGCCCAGGAGTGGGCCCGGGATGAGGAGATGCCCAGGCTGGGCCTGGGGCTTGGGACAGAGGGGAGGCTAGGCAGGAGGAGGGCACCTCCCTCCCTGTGGAGCGGCCAGGGTGGCAGGCAGACTGGAAGAGGCAGGCTACCGAGGACACAGAATAAGGGGACATGTCCTATGTCAGGGGAAACAGGCCCGGCAAGGGGTAGACATTGGGCTTGTGCCCCCCTCTGGGTGGCGATGTCCCCAGCCCAGCTCTGGGCATCTCTGCATCCCAGGGCTTCCACAAGTGAAGTCCCACCTGACTGCACCACCCTGAACCCTCTGCTTACCCTCCTGTCCCCAGGGCTCGGCACAGCCAAATGGGACCCTCCTTCCTCCAAGAAACGCAGCTTGGGCTGGGAAGGCTTTGGAGGCACTGTGTGCTAGAGCCCCACTGGAAGGCCCTGGAGGTCACAGGCACAGCTGCGTCCAGCCCTCTGGGTGCCTAGGCCACACAAGTCCCTGACTCCATGCCTCACGGTGCTGCTTGCATCAGGGGCAGCCTGGCAAGTCCTGGGTGTGGGCTCTGACTAGGTGACTGGTCTCTGCTGGGACCCAGCCCCTGCTGACGGGCACTGGCTCCCAGCTGTGCCTGGGTGGCCAGGCCTGAGGTTCTGCTCAGGGTGCTGGCTGACCCTGCTGTACTTAGCTTGCCGAGGCTCTGACCAGAACTGCCCCCAGAGCGGATCAGGTGTCCCTACAAGCCACCTCTTTTTCCGGGGTGGACTTGCAGGTGACTAATCCTCTACCCCCTGGATGCTTGCTCCCGTCACTGTGTCCCTCCCTGCCTGGAACCTGGCATGGCAGGAAGTAACCCCACCGCACGTCCCAGGTGGGAACGGCCGCCCTTCGGCTTGAGCCCTGGCCCTGGCCACAGCCCCATAGATTGCGCAAGTTAGACTCTGGAGAGAGTTAGACTCAGGACTCAGGGGGTGGAACGACCTGTCACCTGTCCCTGAGGCGGCAGGAAGAGCCTGAGCTGGGGAGCCTCGTACCCAAGGTGTGACCTCCTCAGTGTTGGGAGGCCCCCACCAGCCATGGGGCAAAGACCCAGGACTGCCAGAACAAGACGAAAGGGGCATGTGCACAGCTCAGGGTAGCCCCTGCCTAGATCTCTCATTCTGCACCCCACAGTGGAGCTCACAGACTTCACCCCTCTGACCCATGGGGGCTGCTTGACTGGAGGCTCAAGCCAGGCACATGGGCCCTGGGGTCACTCTGGGAGGGGATCTAGGACAGCAGACTTGCCTTAGGGTTGGAGGTCAGGAGGGAAGCTGGGGAGGCCCCCCAGGAAGCATGTGGGGGTCTGTTTCACTAGCCCAGGGAGGGGAGAAGCCCTTGGGGACAAATGTGAAGAGATAGAGAATAAGGCCGAGGCTATAGAAGAGGTCACTGCATGGGCTCCTTTTAGAAGACAGCATACAAGCAATCCCTGGGGTGACGAGGGTCCCAGCCACCGCTGTGGCGTGGCCTGTGGTGGCCATTTGCAAGTACCTGGACTGGGTGTCCAGAGGATGGGCCAGGGAGAAGCCTGGGGGGTTGCAGACCCAGGACAGGAGCCATAGAGCCCATGTTCACACTCACCTTCTGCTGTCATGAGGAACTTGGTTCACCTGCTGGCACCACCCTGCCCGCCTCCAGCCCTGGCCGAGCTGTTCCCTGATGAGCGCTGTCTTTCCTGTGCCCCTCCCTGGGCACAAGTGCTTGAGCAGCCCTGGCCAGGTGGGACGGGGTCCCCACAGTGGGTCCCAGAAGCCCTTGGCCCATCTGGCCAGCCTTCCACTCACTCCACATTCCCTCTCGAGCTCGGCCCCATCCTGATGTTTGGTGACTGGCAGAGGCAGGAGACCCCGGGCACAGAGACCAGGGTGGGCACTCTCTCTGGAGTGCTCCCAGGAGGGAAGGCCCTTCCCAGGCTTGGAGAGGACTGGGGTGTATCCCCTGCCAGGCTGGGTTCTCTCTGACCCTGAGGCCAGTAGAGTGGGCTCAGCATGGATGGGCCAGCAGGACTTGGGCATGGATGCCCGCAGTCTTGGTGCCAGGGACCTGTCAGCACCGGGCCACCAGGGCGGGTGGCCTTTGCTGCCTCAGGGCCCTCTGCAAATCCTGTGGTGCTGAGTCAACACAGGGTTCCTGGAGGGAAGGGAGGGCCTGTTTGCCTGCAGACGCTCAGCGCCTCTGTCCAGGCCAGGACCCTGCACGCTTGCTGTTTGCTCTCCCAAGGGCTGACTAATCCTGAGCAAATGTGACAGCTCTGTGCAGACTGGCTGCATCCTGTGGAGCTCACCAGGCCAGGCCTATCTGGGGGTGCTGGTGGGGAGGAGAGGGAAGGAGGCCCCAGGTGCCCAAAATGCGGGGACTCTGGTACTGCCCAAGGGCCTGTCACGGCCCTGAGCCTCAGCTGCCAGAGCCAGCGCCCTCCCCTCCTGGAGCCCTTCTCTTCTTCCCCTGAACTCCCCTCCACGTCCATGCTGAGGGCATTGGGTGGCCTCTGCCTTATCTCCCACTGGTCAGCTCTTTAAATCCCAGCCAGCATCGAACTTTCAGGGACCTTTTTCTGTAATTTTATGGAAATATGTAAAACAAACTCTCAAAACAAAATAATAGGAGAATAACAATGTTAATACTGCCTATTGTTATCTTCAAAATAGTTGCTCAGAGTATAAGACACGGGTGTGAAAGATTCTGCAGATGATATGAGCAGAAACGCTTCTTCTCAATGTGCTAAGAGAAACTGCTGTAACTGCCTTCACTATCCTTTCTGTAATTTCCCCCTTTCTCTTCTTTCCTCTCTCCTCTCCCCCACTCCAGTTCCTCTTTCCTTTTGACCAGCTTCTTCCCATTTCAGAGGACTACTGTGCGTTCTGGGCCAGGCTTACATTTCAGAGGACTACTGTG